TTATATTATATTATATTATATTATATTATATTATATTATATTATATTATATTATATTATATTATGTTATTTTATATTATATTATATTATATTAATGCGTGTGTTTGTTTTAGGAAGAGGCGTGGAGCTTATCTGAATCTATGAAGGCCCTTCACTCGCCTTTAAAGGGGACAACTGTCTCCTGGTTTTTTTTGTTAGATACAGCGCAGAGGCGTCAGAGTGAGGCCTTTCTGATGCATGTCTTCAGGTGTATAGGCACCTCAAAACTGCAGAAAGCAGCAGCTTTAATGCTACGCGAGAAAGACCCTTTAACAGGTCCGTATGACTGGGGTGTCTCTTCTTCTTTTCTTGATTATTTATTTTAATTGTGAATTTTGTTTGTCTGTTCGCTTCGTTTGTTTGTTTGTTTGCTTGTTTGTTTGTTTGTTTGTTTGTTTGTTCGTTTGTCTGTTTGTTTGTTTGCTTGTTCTGTTGGTTTTTGTTTATTTGTTTTGTTTGTTTGTTTGTTTGTTATGTTTGTTTGTTTTGTATGTTTGCTTTGTTTGCATGTTTGTTTTGTGGATTAATATATATATAAACATATATAAATTCATTTGTCTATTTATAGAGGCTATCTTCAATAAAAAAAATAAAGGGGCCGTGCAACAAACAAATCCCCCAGCCGCTGCAGTTGCTATCTCTTGTCGTACCACTTCCCCAAACCCTAAACCCTAAACCCTAAACCCTAATGGGCAGGCCTCACGCCTTCAACTGGGGCTTCTGTCTGTCTGTACACTCCAGAGACTGCATGCAAAGGGGCATGCAAACTCCTCACAACCCCACAGCCTCTTCTGCTGTCTCCTCAGGGCTTCCGCGAGACCCTTGGAGCTTCCTTATGAGCCAACGAGTTCAGTTGATTGTACAAAGCAAAGGAGGGGGGGCCCCCAATGGGGGCCCTATTGCCTCTTACGTACACACACCATTGGAACAAAACGCGGAGCCTGCGCAGGCCGCGAGTGCTGCAGATACTGACAGCAGCAGCAGCAGCAGCAACAGCAGCAGCAACAGCAGCAGCAACAGCAGCAGCAGCGGCATGAGCAACAGCAGCGTGAGCAGCAGTAGCAACAGCAGCATCAGCAGCATCAGCAGCGGTAGCAACATCAACAGCAGCAGCAGCAGCAGGAGTTGGCTGCGTGCGCCTTCAGTTCACTTTATAGAGACAGCTTGCGAGCTGGGAGAGTATTTTGAGGCCCTTAGGCGGAAGCAGCAGCAGCAAAGCCGCATCATACAGACACCCGAAGACCTGCAGCGCATCAATGAAATAAACAACAAACTCCTAAAAGAACAAACAGAAGATGCACCCTCCATCTCCTACTTCCTTGCAAGACACCGCCGTCTCTTGCTGCAAGGAATGCAGCACCAGAAGCATACCCACCTACACGCAGACACAGGGGGGCCCCCCGATGGGCCCCCTGAGGGTCCCCCCAACGGACCCCTTGGGGGGCCCCCTGACGGGACCCCTTGGGGGCCTTCTGATGCGCCGCATTGGGGCCCCCCCGATAGTGTCGGTGGGCCCCCAGGGGGGCCCCCAGAGGGGCCCCGGTTGGAGGGTTTTGTTTCTGAGGGTTTGCGGGGTTTGGGCTTGGGGTATTATGATTTTTTGTTTCCTCTTGAGATAGGAGAGGAAGGTGTTGCAGGTTTGCTGCCTTTAGCTGTGGGTTTGCGTGTGGTGGGGGCCCCCCCTTACGGGGCTTCTTTGTTATGTGTCTCTTGGGGCGCGGAGACAGTTGTAATTGATCTGCTGAATCGGCAGCAGGTGTTTGCTGCTGCAGTTGAGAGGCTGCTGCAGTGGCTGCTGCCTAATCCCCTTGTCTTAAAGGTTCTCTTTGATTGCAGAGAGACAATAGAGAGACTCGCTGTGGGGCCCCTCCCTCTGCAGGAGCCCTTAAAGCCCCTTGTACACTGTATAGACCTCAGGTGAGTGAGGAGGTTGTCTTGTCTCCTTTTGGCTCCTTTTTCTTTATTCTTCTGTCTCCTTTCTCTCTCTCTTTTCCTTTTGTCTCCCTTTGTCTCTTCTTTCTTTTTGTCTCCTTTCGTCTCCTTTTGTCTCCTGCTCTCTTTTCTGTTTGTCTCCTGGTGCTTTGGCTAGCGGGAGTTTCTCATTAAGCCCTTCTTATGTTGTCTCTGTCTCTCCTTTTGTCTCCTTTTGTCTCGGGCTTCTTCTTCTGTCTCCCTTTATCGCCTTTTGTCTCTGGTTTCTTCTTCTGTCTCCTTTTGTCTCCTTTCTTTTGCCTGTCTCCTTGGTCTCTGGGTGGCTGGACTCTCCTACTATGCCCTTCTGTTGCATGTCTTTGTCTCCTTTTGTCTCCTTTTGTCTTTCCTGGCTGTCCCTTTAGGCAGCCCCGAGTGTACAGACACCTCGAGGCCCCCCCTCCTCTCCCCCCCGCGGTGCAGCGAGACGCTCAGCTAGCAGATGCCTTAGCACAAGGCAACGAAAGATTGTTTAAACACATCCTCAAGCAGCAGCAGCAGCAACAACAACAACAACAACAACAACAACAGCAGCAGCAGCATCAGCAGGGAAAGCAAGAAGAGGGTGCGGACATGCAGACACAGCTCCTCTCAGTCGGTATGTGTCTTTGGCTCGCAGTGGTTGTGCCCTCCTCTAAACCCTAAACCCTAAACCCTAAACCCTGGCGTTTATGTTGCAAGCCTTTCGGGGCCATCAAGGCAGCTCATTGGCTGCACGTGGACTTAGGTGTATGTAGGATCTAGGGATTAGGGTTTAGAGACTAGGGTTTAGGGTTTAGGGTTTAGGGTTTATGATGTGGTATTTCTGTGGGCCGTAGGCACCCGGAGAACCCTCAGCGAGCTGCGTAAGGCTGTTTTGGGTTGGGGGCCCCCAGGGGGGCCCCCAGGGGGCCCCCCTTGGGGCCCCCACGAACGCAAGAGCAGCAAAAGCCTCAACAGGAGGCCTCTAGATGGAGATATGCTGCTGCAGGTTGCTGATGAAGCTTTCGCTTTGCTGCTAATTGAGAGGAGACTGAGACAACACCATCTTCTACCCAAGAACATCTTGGGGGGGTCCGGAGTTCATGCGCTGCTCTTCGGTAAACCCTAAACCCTAAACCCTAAACCCTCAAATCCAAAACCTTAACCCTAAACCCTCAAATTCAAATCCTAAACCCTATACCAGCAACTCCAAACCCTAAACTCTAAACTCTAAACTCCAAACCCTAAATCCTTAACCCTTAACCCCAAACCCTAAACCCTAAACCCTCAGCTCCACACTGGCAACTGCAGAGCCTGAACCCGCAACTCTAAACCCTAATCCCTCAAAGCAAAACCCTAAACCCTCAGCCGAAACCCCAAACGTTGTTTTCCCTGAGATAGATTGAGCCCACGAGCTGCACTTGACCTTAAACCCTAAACCCTAATCTCTAAACTCTCTGCCCGCCATCCTAAACCCCCGTCGCGCAGGAGAACAGCCTGACGTTCGCAGCGAATATTGCGTTCACGGTCTAGGGTTTAGGGTTTAGGGTTTAGGGTTTGTTCTGTGCACAGATGAAACAGCGCCACGCAACGCGTGGCGGGTTGACCGGGAGAGGTCTGCGGCTCAGCTCCGCAAAAACCTGCAGACGGCGCTTGTGGCCCAAACCCTAAAACCCTAAACCCTAAACCCTAAACCCTAAATCCCCCAACCGGGGCAGAGAGTGGCACAGGGCCCCCCCGCGTAATGTTTTCTTTTAGCTTTGTCACCCTAACGCGTCCTCTTAAACTTTTTAATTTAAAAATATTCATATGCAACAATATCAAAACACTCAGCCGTTGTTAATATGCGTTTCCGGTGTTGTATTGCTACCAAGGGGGCCCCCACGGGGCCCCACAGACCCCTCAGGCCCCTCTGGGGGCCCCCCAGACACCGCTTCAGAGGGGGCCCCCGATGAAGCCCCCCTAAGAGTTGGGCCAGGGGGCCCCGGAGAGGTTGTACCTGGGGGCCCCCCATGAGGGGGAACATCCGGGGCCCCTACAGCAGGGGCACTGCTGGGGGGCCCCTCAAGGAAAGCACTAGGGGGCCCTCCAAGGGGATCGCTAAGGGGTCCCCCAGGGGGATCACTAGGGGGCCTCCCAGGGGGATCACTAGGGGGCCCCCCAGGGAGATCGCTAGGGGGCCCCCCAGGGGGATCGCTAGGGGGCCCCCCAGGGGGCTCGCTAGGGGGCCCCTCAGGGGGTTCACTAGGGGGCCCCTTGGGGGCCCCCTTTTTATCTTTACCCGTTGGGAAGCCACGGCCAAGGGCTGAAAAGATATCAAGTGCATCTTTGCTTGATAGGTTCCAGTTCTCAGATAGAAGACCCGCGAGCTCCTCAAACTGGGAGAAGATGGGGGCCCCCAGGGGCCCCAACACATCGTCTAGAGGGTCAGAAGGCATACTAAGGGGGGGCCCCAAAGGGGCCCCCTCCATATCCTCAGACGACAGGGGCCCCCAAAGCAAATCATCCTGTGCTAACTCTAAGTCTGAAGGAAACAGGTTACTGCTGCTGCTGCTGCTGTATGCAGAACCCTTGCTTGGTTTTGTTCCCTTCGATGCATTTCTTTCTTCATTTGACGATGCTGTAGTTTGCTTGTTGCTGTTGTTTTTCTGCTGCTGCTCTTGCTGCCGCTGCTTCTGCCGCTGCTTCACCTGAGCATCCGTGAGGGTTCCTGCTCCTTGCAGCAGCAAATCAATAAGGCCCTGCGCTGCTGCTGTTGTATTGGGGAGGGCATCCTGCAAAACAATAATCTTCTCTTCGATGTCTGCTGCTGCTGCTAGCATTTCATGCCTTACCTGCTGCTGCTGCTGTTGTTGCTGCTGTTCGTGCTGCTGCTGCATCTGCTGCTGCTGCTGCAGCAGCAGCTGCGCTGCTTGCCTCATAGCAGCGAGCGCTGCCATTCTTTGAGTCTCTAGCGCCCGTGCCTCTCTTTGCTGCTGCCTCTTCTGCCTCTGCTTCTTTGCTGCTGCAAGAATATCATTAAAAACACTCAGCAGCACCAAGCACAACACGCCAGCAGCAACTCCAGTTAGAGATCCTCTTATTGTACTCTTCTTCTGTGAAGCCTCAGCCCCTTGGGGCCCCAGGTGTATAGGCAGCTCATACTTTTCATTATCCCCAAGTGTGAAACGGGCTATGATGCGGTTGGGCAAGCGGTATTCTGCTTCTCCTGCTGCTGCTGCTGCTGCTGCTGTAGGGGGATCTGCAGCAACAACAGCAGCAGCAGCAGCAGGGCTGCCCTCAAAGGAAACCTCCTGTGCACCTGCTTCTGCTATGCAGCGGAGATGCAGCAACAGCGCAACGAAGGCAGCAGCGCAGCGCCTCATTGCTGCTGCTGCTGCTGCTGCTGCTGTTGCCGAAGAGAAGAAACACCTGCTGCTGCCTCCTACTTGATCTCAATGAGTCATAATAAGTGTTAAAACAATGATTAAATTGTTTTGCTGCTGCTGCTGCTGCTGCTATTGTGATGCTCTCTAACCCATCGACTTCACCTGTGGAGATGCCTTGCTGCTGCTGCTGCAGCTGCTGCTGCAGCAGCAGCAGCAGCACGAAACTTGCAGCAAAGAGGCGAAGCCCTTGAAAACGCAATTATTACCATTTAAACCATCGAAGTTTGCAAGGGAACTCGTTCCCTTTCGCAGCAACAGCAGCAGCAGCAGCAACAGCAGCAGCAGCAGCAGCAGCAGCAGCAGGACCACCCGATTCTGCGTCAGCGTGGGGCCCCCGATGGGGGCCTTAGGGCAGATATAATAAGTCAGCTACACAATTAAATCTTTTTGTCTTTAGTTATCAATCTTTGGCTTACACGTTTGCTATTCATTGATTCAGCAGCAGCAGCAGCAGCAGCGGCAGCAGCAAGGCAGACAGAGTTAGCGCAAGCTGCTGCTCAGTGTTAGCGGCGCTGTTGCTGCTGCATCTCTGCTGCAGCAGCAACAACAGCAGCTGGTGCAGCAGATATTACAGCAGCAGCTCCCCTCAGCGCCGAGCAGTTAGACGCCCTGACAAGCGGAGGAGTTGCAGACAGCAGCAGCACTTGCTTCTGTTGCTGCCGCTGCTGCTGGTGTTGCTGCTGGTGTTACTAGTGCCTTTGCTTGAACCCTCTGCAGCAAGAGGCAAATGCAGGTTTCACGTACAGGTTGTGTGCAGGTTTTGCTGCTGCTGCTGCTGCTACAGCTGCTGCTGCTGCAGCTGCAGCAAGCAGCAGCAACGAAATGGTTTCTCTTCGGGCGTCCGCAGGGCTCTGCTGCAGACTCTTGCAACAGAAGCGGGGAGGTATGAAGCTTCCAGACGAGCTGCTGCTGCTGCTGCTGCTGCCGCTGCTGCCCTAGCATCTGCAGATGCTGCAGCAGTAGCTGCAGCATCTGCTGCAGCATGAGTCACAGCCGCTGCATTCCTGCCTTCTCTAGCGCTCCTACAAGTACCTTACTGCTGCTGTTTCTGCTGCTGCTGATCCTACTGTTGTTCCTGCTGTGGCTGCTGCTGCTGCTGTTGCTGCTGCTGCTGCTGCTGCAGGAGATTCATCTGGAGGCGCAGTGGTTTGAACAGCCTCTTGATCATTTTGACCCCATTCTACAGGCAGAGGGACGCAAGTGGAAGCAGCGCTACTTCGAGCTGCTGCACCAGGACCCGCAGCAGCAGCAGCAGCAGCAGCAGCAGCAGCAGGGGAATCAGCTGCCAAGGCCCATGTTTGTTTACATTGGAGGAGAAGCAGCAATTGCACCAACTGATATTACAGGAGGTCGGGTGCTGCTGCTGTTGCTGTTGCTGCTGTTGCTGTTGCTGCTGCTGCTGCTGCTGTTTCTGCTGCTGCTGTTGCTGCTGCTGCTGGGGCTGTTGGTGCAGCAGCAGCAACAGCAACAACAGCAGCAACAGCAGCTGATCTGTCAGGGCCTTCGTTGGGTTGTGCACAGTCTCTGTCTTTCGTTTCTTTTGCTTCTCTCTATTTGTTTTCGTCTCTTTATTTTTGTTTCTGTCTCTCTAACTGTCTCCTTATATGCTGTATTTTTGCGTCTCTTTTATTTAAACTGTCTCTAAATTTATATTTATATTTATATTTACTTTATTTACATTTATATATTATTACTGCTATTTATTAATTTACTTTGTTTCTGTCTCTTTATTTGCTTTATTTCTCTGTCTCTGTTTTTTTTAGTTGTCTCTTTATTTAATTCCTCCGTCTCATTTTATTTAAACTGTCTCCTTGTTAATTTAAATTAAGCTGTCTCCTTGTTAATTTAAATTAAGCTGTCTCCTTGTCAATTTAAATTAAACTGTCTCCTTGTTAATTAAATTAAACTGTCTCCTCGTTAGTTTAAATTAAGCTGTCTCCTTGTTAATTTAAATTAAACTGTCTCCTTGTTGATTAAATTAAACTGTCTCCTTTTTTAATTAAATTAAACTGTCTCCTTCAGGGCATTTGGGGTGTCTGCGCATTTCATTTGCTGCGGATGTCTTTGCGGTTGAACATCGATTTTACGGAGAGTCAAAGCCAAACGCTAACTCTGAACCAGAGACACTCAGGGCCCTCACAGTCCAGCAGGTCCTGCTGCTGCTGCTGCTGCTGCTGATGCTGCTGCTGCTGCTGATGCTGATGCTGATGCTGTTGCTGTTGCTGCTGCTGCGGATGGTGGTGGTGGTGATGGTGGTGGTGGTGCTGCTGTTGCTAATGCTGATGCTAATGCTGCTGCTGCTGCTGCTGCTAGTGCTGATATTTTCTGTTGCATTCGCTTCTTCCTCGCGAGGTTTTTGTTATTTAGACTGTATCATATTGTGTATGGTTTACCTTGTAGCCTAGGGTTTAGGGTTTAGGGTTTAGGGTTTAGGGTTTGTTTGTCAGGCCCTAGCGGACTTGGCTGCTTTTATCGAAGCAAAACGCCGTGAGAGAGCGAAGGCTCAAAAAGTGTCTCCTTCACATATTCCAGTTGTTGTATTTGGATGCTCTTACCCAGGTAAACCCAGCAGTAGCAGCAGCAGCAGCAGCAGCAGCCGCAGTAGCAGCAAGAGCACGAGCGGGGGCAGCAGGAGCAGCAGCAATAGCAGCAATATCACGAGCAGGGGCAGCAGGAGCAGCAGAAGGAGCAGCAATAATACGAGCAGGGGCAGCAGCAGCAGCAGCAGTAGCACGAGCAGGGGCAGCAACAACAGCAGCAACAGCAACAGCAGCAGCAACAGATATAGCAGCAGCAGGGACCCTTGCGTCTGCCTGAGCAGCTCAAGGCTCTCTAGGAAGTGTTTCTTCATATTTAGCTCTCTCTCTCTGTCTAGCTAGCTAGATAGCTAGCTAGCTGGCTGTCTAGCTAGCTAGCTGTCTAGCTATCTTTGTATCTATTATTATCCGTGCTGCACCCTTGAATATCTGGTGCGCGATGAAGCTGCTGGGGGTATAGGGTTTATTAGGGTTTAGGGTTTAGGGTTTGTGGTTTGCGGTGTATGTATCAGGTTCTCTCGCTGCGTTTGCTCGTCTGAAGTACCCTTTTCTAATCTCAGGAGCAATAAGCTCTTCTTCTCCTTTGCAAGCAAAAGAAAGTTTCTTTGCTTTTGATGCTGCAGTTAAAGCGGGGCTGCCTCCCCGCTGCGCTGCTGCTGCTGCTGCAGGGCTGGCAGCACTCAGCAGCAGAATGCAAGACACCACGCTAGCGGTACACCTCAAAAAAACCCTAAACCCTAAACCCTTAATCAATACCAACACACGTGCACTCTAAACCCTAAACCCTAAACCATCAAAACATGCGCAGTGGAAACCCTAAACCCTAAACCCTAAACCCAGAAGGCACTGCAGCTTGCTGCTGCCAAGCATAAAGGGCAGACCGGCTGCTACCGCATTCCCTTCTGCTCGCCGAGTTTAGGGTTTAGGGCTAGGGTTTAGGGTTTAGGGTTTAGGGTTTGCTGCGCAGGAACAAGAGCTGCACCGCTTTGGCTGCGAAGACGTCCCCATTCAAACAAACACTGAAAAGACTGCGTTTGTATATTCTGTCGTTGATGCCGTCGCTGAAGCTGTTCAAGTAGGGTTTAGGGTTTAGGGTTTAGGGTTTAGGGTTTAGGGTTTAGGGTTTTAATGACTGGTGCCATCTTTTGTTCGAGGAGAAAGCCCTTTGCGAACCGTCTTAATCAGGGTTTAGGGTTGAGGGTTTAGGGTTTAGGGTTTGCGCTGCGCAGTATAACCGCCCCACAGAACGCCCTTTAGTAGAGAGCCTCTGCAGCTCCTTGGGGTTTGTTGCTGCTGACGTCCCCCCAGACAGCAGCAGCAGCAGCAACAGCAGCAGCAGCAGCAGCAGCAGCAGCTCGAGAATCAAACCTAAGATGAGCAGCGCACATGTTGTTGAGTATGAAGAAGAAGAAGAAAGAGAGAAGAAAGAGAAAAAAGAAGCAGGAGTAGTCTTTAGGGAGGAGACCCGGGATCGGGATCGGGATCGGGATCGGGATCGTGAGGAGCATCTGCTCCAAGGCCTAGCGAAGTATTTTAAGGAGTCATACAGCAGAAAACAAACAAACTGCAGAAGCCTCAACATGCTTGCAGCCACAGACACCCGCCTCGGTGAGCACAAACCCTAAACCCTAAACCCTAAACCCAAAACCCTCAATAGCACACGAAACCCCCGTTGAGGGTTTAGAAGCTTTCTTTGATGTTACCCCTGAGGGTTTAGGGTGTCTGCATTCTCCTTCCACATACTCTGCTTGGTCTCCTGGAGATGCTTGAGGGTTTGGGGTCTGGCGGTGTAGGGTTTGAGGGCTTACTTAGGGTTTTACGATTTTAGGGTTTAGGGTTTCAGAGTTTGAGGGTTTAGGGTTTTAGGGTTTAGGGTTTTGAGAGTCTTCAGATAATTCGGTGCTATCAAATACAAGGCTGTGGATGTGGCAAAGCTGTTCTCAGTTCGGGTTTTGGCAGGTCAGATAACCCTAAACCCTAAACCCTAAACCCTAAACCCTAAACCCTAAACCCTAAACCCTAAGATATTTATTCATTGCTGGTGTTTGCACCTCCGAAGCCTAAGCCTGCCTTCCGCTGCGCTGAGGTTGTGACTGGCTGGCTTATCAAACCCTAAACCCTAAACCCTAAACCCTAAACCCTAAACCCTAATTTGGTGTTTAGGTGGCTTCCCCTGGGAGTATACGGCCTCCATCGATCAACGTGCAGTTTCACCTCGACGTGTGCAATAAACTCTTTCCTCTTCCCCGTCAGTTAAACCCTAAACCCTAAACCCTAAACCCCAAACCCTAAACCCCAAATCCTAAGCGCAGACCCTTAAACCGCAACCTTTAAACCCTAAACCCTAAACCCGTAAACACTGAAAAGCCCTCAAAAGCCCTAAACCCTAGTCCCTGGACCTGAACCCCTAAACCCTAAACCCTAAAACCGTAAGCGACAATCGTATGAATGCCTGTGTTGTGTATACGAATGCATGCATGCAGAAGGAGAGTTTAAAGACAAGGGTATTAAGGAGACAAATGAATGGGCAGGGGGGAGACACTTAGGGGGTTTTAATGCTGCTAGCAATATTCATTTTACAAATGGAAGCGCCGACCCCTGGGCTCGTCTTTCTTTGCTTTTTGTAGATAAACAAACAGAAGATCAACAACATATTTCCTCCTTTGTCATACAAGTAAACCCTAAACCCTAAACCCTAAACCCTAATCCCGCTAGAAACACTTCTGCATCGCAAATAAACACTTGAAAACCCTTAAAACCATTAAAAAACCCTAAACCCTAAACCCTAATATACTCCCTTGAAGCATATTAACGCCTACAATCCCTTCTAAGAAAATCATGAAAACCTTCCGAAACCCTAAACCCTAAACCCTAAACCCTTTTTGTCTCAGGGAGGATCCCATTGCACGGATTTCTACTCCCCCGCAGCATCCGACAGTCCCTCTTTAATAAACGCCAGAGAAGAAATTCGTAAGGCAGTTGCGGGGTTTATCGACAGACACCGAGCAGCCATCAGCAGCAGCAGCAGCAGCAGCAGCAGCAGCAGAGAGAGTGGGGCAGCAGAAGGGACAGACACCGCAGAGGAGCCGCTGCAGCGCGCTGTCTCTGTCTCTGAACTTTAGGAATCTAAATAATGCTAAATCTACTCTCTTTATATTCTGCATTTGCTGCTCCTCTCGCTGCTGCTGCTGCTGCTGCTCCAGTTGCTGCAGCTGTTGCTGCTGTGCAGCTGCTGCAGTTGCAGTTGCTACTGCTTCTGCTGTGGCTGCTACAGTTGCTGCTGCTGCTGCTGCTGCAGTGCGCAGCAGCAGATGGAGGGGCCCCTGACTCAGGGGCCCCCAACTGCTTTACAGTGTATGGAGACGTTTGCTGTTCTTCAAACCCTCAACTGTGTTATTACTTCTGTCTCCGTCTTATTTGTTTTTGCTGCTGCTGTTGCTGCCGTCTAGTTCCTGCTGCTGCTGCTGTCCCTGCTATATTAATTGCTGTTGTTCCTGCTACTACTGCTGCTGCTGCTGCAGTTGCCGCTGCTGCTGCTACTGCTGCTGCAGCTGCCGCTGCTGCTGTTCCGGCTACTGCATCTGTTGCAGTTCCCGTTGCTGCTGCTGCTGCTGCTGCTGCTGCTGATATTGATGTGTATATGTTAGATGAGATCAAATATATCTTTCTGCAGCTCAGGGATGCCTAACGTGTCTCCGTTGTCTAAAGTTAAAAAGAAAGGATACACCTGGAGAAAGGGACGCCTCAATATCTGACATGGATACACCTGAATAAACAAACAAACAAAACAAAACAAACAAAAAGGCTAAAACATACAATATATGCATGCAGACATATGCATGCATGCAGACGTATATATGCATGCATGCATGCAGATACACTTGGAGAAGCCCCACTCTTTAATACTCAAAGCGGAGTCTGTACACCGCAAGAGTGAAGACAAGAAGAAAAACTGCGTGCAATTAAAATGCACAGACAAAAAAGAGACAAAGAGACACAAACTTTTTAAGACATATACCATAGACAGAGTATAGATATACATATATATATATATACATATATATATATATATGTATATATATATATATACATATATATGTTTATATATTTATATTTTCCTCTATTTACGCTATGTATATATATATATATATATCAGATCTATATATATACATATATATATATATATATATACATATATATATATATCAGATCTATATATATACATATATATATATATACATATATATATATATATATATATATATAAAGAAAATGTGCATGCATGCATGAGTAATAAGGTAAGTGTATTTGGGCTTACAACTGGGGCTTTATGAGGCATAGCAAATGTCGCTTTAAGCGTAGAATTTAAAACATGCAAAGAAAAATGTAAGGAAGTATCTGTTATAGACAAACGCAGTAAAACAATTTCTCCAGATGTTACACCGCGAGGCCAATAAACAAATGAAGGAGAGTGATAAGTTGGGTACGCTATACACCTGAACGCATCAAAAAATATATTATACTCTAATATATTCTTTTGTACATATATATATATATGCATATATATATATATCTATATATGTATATATATTAATAAAAACGATTATATATATATATATATACATATATATATATGTAAATGATTATATATACATGCATATATATATATATATATACATATATCAAGTTGCATGCAAGCAATACATGCATGCAAACAATACATGCGTGCATGTGCAGACAAATAAATGCATGCATGCAGACACATATATAGAATTTGCATATACAATATGCATATATATATATATATGTATGTATGTATATGTATAAACACTTTTATATATGCAGAATATGTAATGAGATATATTCTAAACATATAAAAGAAAAAAAATACATGCGTTTTAATTGCCTCTATTGGAGCTTTACACACAATAAGAGAAAAGGTATATTATATTAAATATATTAAATGTATTAAATATGTTAAATATATTAAATATATTTAATATATTAAATGTATATTTAAATATCTTACAGCGGATCAGAGCCTATGCTTGCAGTAACAAATGCCTTTGTCTCCGTATCAAAGTAGCATGCGAGTTCTGCGGTGTATAGACAGCAAATGTTTTTATATTATGTTTGTCGTGGGGTTTATTTATTTAATTAAAAAGAACAGACAAAAGATACAAAAATATTAAACAAGTGCAGCTGTAGGAATTCACACAAAGGAATAATGCATGCTGAGGGTGTCTCCTGTCTCTTCTTTTGTTCGTTTGTTTGTCTCTCTCTCTCTCTCTTGCCTTGTTTACAATAAATAAATAAATTAATTAATTAATTAATTAATTAATTAAGTGAATAAATAAATAAATGTATAAACAAATACGTAAGCCAATGCATAAATCCATGAGTATATAAATAGAACAAACAAATAAAAAGAAATAATAAATAAATAAATAAATAAATAAATAGACAGAAGAATAACTAAATAGAAAAATAAATAATTATTTGTTTAAATACTTTTAAATATATTTCTTACTGTTAGATTTATTATGAGGGTCTTCTGTTGCAACTCCAAAGAGAATCTTGCCTCTCTGTGTTTTTATAATTTCTGTAGCAAAAACTGCTTCACTAATTAAACGTCCAGCACCTAAAAGCCAGGCCCACTGACATCTGCTGCTGCTGCTGCTGCTGCTGATGCTGCTGCGGATGCGGCTGTTGCGGGTTGCTGCACACGGGTACAGAGACCCATGCCACGACAACTCATACTCGCTGTTCTCCTTCACACAAACAAAACATTTAAATTTATTTCAATATATATATTTATATATATTTATATTTCTGTATATGTTTATATATGTGCATGTATGTTTACATGTAATATATACATAATATATATGTATATATGCATATAGCACAAACCAAAGCCCATGTATATATATATATATATATATATATAGATACATATATATATATATATATATACATGGGCTTTGGTTTGTGCTAATAGATATATATGCATGCATCTGCATATATATATATATATGCATATTCATATATATATATATATATATGCATATGCATATATATATATATATATATGAAT